GTGCCTTCCGACGTGACTTCCTGGACTTTGCCCTCCACAGCCCTGCGACACAGCCCCTACTCGACGTCATCTTCTCAAACAAGAGGCTTCAAAACCCCGATGAATTCTTCTTCCAGACCATAGCATTTAACCCGCACATCCGCGCCCCTGGTGCCTGCTTGTACACTTCAATGCCGTCTGAGCTGAGTATGGGATATCCAGCAAGGTATGTCATCTGGTCTCAGCAGATGTCCTTCTGTCCGACAAAGTATGTTCGGTGGGTTTGCATCCTCGGCAGCCCACATGTGCCTGAACTCCGCCGAACCTTTCATCTCTTTGCGAACAAAATGCATGCTGACTACTATCCCGAGGCCTACGACTGCATGGAACAGTGGTATTTTACGCGCCTACAGCGTGAGTGGAAAATAGGTCACGTGGACTGGGAGGCTTTCCAGCCGTGGGCCTATAGATTCTTGACCTGCTCACGTTACCATTTGGACTAAATTGGTTAGTTAGCAGTTTAAAAGTGCTTTGACCTGAGATTAAATTTTTATTCTCTCACAGAATATTTTTGTTTCATCTCAATGTACTCATCTGACTTTCTGGTAAACAAAAATGGCTTTACCCGTAAAAGGACAGAATGCTCTTGTACCGTTCGAGGCAATCAGGCCAAGTACATTTAGGGAGCCATAAGCAAACGCCATTGAACTTCCTATTAGTTACAGTACCTAGGGAATGCATTTGTGCAACAGAAGATATCAAAAGATGTCGTTGTAATGATTCCAACGGAAACGCAAGGCGTCGGTTAGTTATGAGAAGTGAACAAACACGACTATTCATTTTTTTCTACGTAATATAATCACATGTAAAATACAAACAGGTGATGCCAATTGAAACGAGTGGGAAGGTGCAGCTAAGCAGAAAGGAGATGAAAAAACAATTCCCTAGGCATGATTCAAACATTCTAGAAGTTGGAATGCCATTTGAGAGATGTCAGGAGAAAAAAACACTCGCTATGTGCGAGATATGACCGGCATGCTGCTGAGAATACTTAAAGGACACGCCGATGAGTGATGTGATCCTTGCAATTCGCATAGATCCAAGTAGACAGCCCGAAGATACTCACCTAAATTGGGTGAAAACATTATTCGAGAAAACATTAGTACTACTTAAAAATAGCTAGTAGCATGTTTATGTTTTGTCGTCCGGCCACACTGAGAGGCTCCTGGTAGTTTCAGACAACGAGGCCGTAAGTACGGTCGTGCTTGTCAAATTATATCTTGAGGGTGTCCACGGATGCAGGCAGAGAAATCCATGCCTGGATTACTTTCTTAGGGAAAAAAAATTTCCGTCCAGCGTTGCCTCAGCCACACATAATTTGAGAGGGTGTCCTTGCAATAGCCAGTTCAAAGAAATCTTTGGACCCCGCAGAATGCAAAATGCCCGTATAGGATCACCGCGTAGAAACCTGTAATCCAGGGAAAAAATTCAATATCGGACAAGCGTGTCTCGTAAGGTAGGTTCCCTTGGCCTCATACTAGTATCGCTGGGGATTTAGCAAGTTAAACCCTAGCAACTGCGATCTTCAGACCACAGTTACTTAGGAGGGAAGAAGAATTATATAGAGGCCAGCAGTAGTAGAAACAGTATATTGTGTACACAGAGGAACGAAGAATAAAAAGGAAGAAGATGGGCTACGGAGAGCACGACCTTCCACTAGAGCGGCGTGATCCGAAGTGTGGCATAGGTGCAGGAAATCGCCGCGCTTCAGAGAGTAAGCTTTAACGCGTGCAGGCTTGCTATTCGTCATCGGCCCAGGAAGCATCTATGCGGCAACCGTGATTGGCTGTTCCCAGACGTCGTGATCAACGGCTGTGGAGCTTCAGCAGAGTTCACTTCGACGCGAGCTAGTCACTACACTAGCTTGGTTGCCTATCGTTGGACTCTTGCAAGGACTTTACGGTCTCTGACTGTCCACGGTGTCCAAGCTTTGATGGCAAATTTTAGTTGTGGTTTCACGAAAATCCCAAAGAGCACACTTTATGAGATACAAATTCGACATTGCGGAGTTGGCCACCTTCAAGCAGTGGAGTGGTGGCTTGAGTGAGGGCGTGACCCACACCCTCAGATCATTCGGAGCCTCAACCTCTGGCAGTAGTGTGTAATTTAGGTTAAAAAGAACGTCCGGCGGACAGTCATGGTTCGGCCAAAGTGCATAGTGTTGCATTTGGTCCCATTGAATGGCAGGAGCCTGTGGTTCAACCGCTGCTGGAGTTTATGCGAATCGGCCTGTAGATTAAATTCCTCATCTTCTTTGAAGATGACCTTCTAAAGTTTAAAAATCGTCAGTAAACCTTACGATTTCACAGTCTTATTTGCTTACTCAGTCATCAAACTATATAAGGAAGAGGATAGGTCCAAGAAAGGAACTCCGGAGAACCCCACTCTCAACCGCCACCTCCATCGACCATTTACCCCTAAGACACACGGCCAGAGATCCACCGCTCAAAAAGATTTTTCTCTACTGCAAAAGGCTGTGTCTCACCGTTATGCGGCTGAGCTTGTATAGTAAAGGTTGGTGAGCTACAGAGTCGAATGCCTTCTCGACGCCTACGAAGCTTTCATGCACCGTAGTTCATCCATCCAGCGCTCGAGCCTATCGTTGTAGATAATAGAGCAAAGTGGTCGGGCAGGACTTGCCTCCACCGAATCCGTGCTGGTTGTCAGCGAGAAGTTGATCATGCTCCAACGTTTTTGTGGATGGATTGTGTCTTCCACCCAATGACAGTAAGGTTTTTGTAGCTGCTGACTGAACATACCTAGAACAATTTATATCGAAAAAAGATACTTGTAAATCAAAGCTGCAATTATGCATAATTTTAAACGTCACGTATGACTTCCAGCGTCAATACAATAAAGTGACATACACAAATACTTGGCAATACTGCTGAGTTAACAAGGTTTAAGAGCAAAGTCACCATCCACTTATGCGTGATGCAAATTTTAAAGAATTGGAGTAAGACCTCGCAAGGCACCTCACTGATGTAGGTCGAAAGCCGTTTCTCTGTGTGCCCTCAGGCTAAAGCTAAATGAATAGAAGAAATGAAAAAGATTATAACGAGTTTCACCGTCATCTCGATTTTTACGCCTCTACATTTTTTTACGGTAATGCTTTTAATTTCCAATAGTTTTTAGACTTTTTTGGTGAAATATTTATTTTTGAGATGACTGGCTTTAGTGCAGTGATATGGGAGATTGGCAGTCGTTCTTTAGCGTTCGTTTTGGATAATGAGCGACAGCTAGTACAGCCCCGGACGTTGTCAGACAGATTCTATTCGAAACTTCGCGACCTTGCATAGTTGTTTCAGCCTGAATAGGTTAATCAGCGAATTTTTTCTCTACGTTTCGCAGCTGTCCTCTGTCCTGCAGAACGGGCGTTGATCGTGCAAACTGAGCGTAATTGTCTTTTTATAAGATTTCCCGTGAAACAAAGCGACGATCCAGCCAATTCATGAGACGGCGGGTGAATATAAAGGTTGTCTTGTAGTGGCCGCTGAAATAAGCTTTCAAATATGTTAGAGAAGCTATATTTCCCTAACCTCATATATTCTCACCTGATAAGCTAGTGTTTGACGAACAATTTTGACCGCTTCTGGCTTTTATGTAGGTGAGAGTTTTGTGAGGGCAGCCTGATTTGCGCATGCCGCAAGCCAAGGTGAAACAGACTTGCATCGCACCTGTCGCATGCTCACGTCCCTAAACAAACCCGCTCCGATTGCGATAAAATATCATAGCGACGGAAAGCGGTAGATAGGACAGTGATTGGCACAGCTAAACTGTCCATGCCACACGCGAGCGGGCACCAATCAGGTGTTTAACGAAGGCGACTCGAATCCCAAATGGGTGACGGTGCCAGTATATTAGAAGGAGCCATTAAAACGCTTTTCTCAGTCCTGACAGGACACGGTTGCCCCGTCAGATGTGAAAGGTGTACAGCCAGGAAAAGGAAGTGACACAGACGTTATGTAGAAAAATATCCTAAGAGAGATCAGGCTCCGTAGTACATCCGATAACCTTGTGGTAATTTCCATGTAAGCTCGGCGTTATGGCTAGGGATAGGAATACATTATTTGGGGTTTGGGTTGTGTTTAATTTTATGGCACGGGCATAGTTACCACCTGGCATTAAGCGTATTTCCAGCTCTCACAATCAGACTTATTTTCCACTCCCTCTTTTAAACAAGAGTTTGCCAATAGTAGCGAATATTCGAGTCCCAGGAAGCAGTTCAGATGAGGAAGATGCGATCACTGGATCAAGAGTTTTATTTGCCTGACGTTTTGGATTCCCTCGGGAATCCTAAATCATAAGTT